GTATACCTTTCACTGGATTAATCTCTGTGAACTCCACATAAAACATTTACCAATCTGTTCTTTTTCAGTTTCCCTTTCTTGCATTTTTTGCTTACATCTTAGTCCCAGTCGCTGAAAACATGAAGAGGAATGTTCAGAATCGGAATCAGAATCTGTTTTATTGGCCAGGTGTGTCGGACACACAAGAAATTTGACTCTGGTACATCGGCTCTCAATGTGCATGTACATATCCCCATGCAAGGGGCAAGTAAACAGTAAACCAGCACAAGGCTATGTAATATAACAAAATAAGCAGTATTAACAAGCAACAAACAGTGCAAACAATGCAACCACAAAGTCTAAACGTTCTTCACTGCTCAGACTAAATCCACATTAACACTTTCTAATGGCAGCAGTGCCTGTTTTTAGTGTAATCATTATTTGTATAAGCATTTAAAGATATTGTGTATACAAATTCATTATTCTGGGTTTTGTAGAACGTTTTATGTTTTGTATAAATTGTTTTGTAGCTCAAATGTTGTTGATAAAGGTAAATTAGGTAAATACAGCATATCACATCCACCTTTATTTGTACCTGACCCGCAAGGATTTTCATCCTCAAAGAGAGAAATCTTTCTAATGATTGAAGAAAGAGACAGTTCTTTTGTCAGTTATACTTTCAGTTAAACCAAATCCATTACTTTTAACTATTTGGTCATTTTATAAAAATAATTTTTAAAAAGCTTCGGAACCTTAAAGTGGTTATTTGTCTGCTTTATAGATCTGCAGTGATGCGATGCAGTTTGAGATCCATCAGATCAGCTGCAGCATCTGATCATAAACAAATTTCCAATTAACGAGTGTGCCAGTCTGGTAACATGCTAAAAGACTGTGAAGGATGGCCACACGGATCCTTGTTCATTGCTCGCTCAAGAGCCCTTTTTGCTCCTCCAAGCAGGACTTTGGAAGTTGATGGAGTGGTGGAATAACTTCTAGACTGAGTCTGGATTGAGGGACTGAGGAGTGAGGAGCAATAAAATAAGGGGACATGGGATGTACCCACTGAGTGATTCCCATTGCCTTAAAATGTTTCCTTGTTCCCCTCACTTGCATCTCATCTTCGCATCTTAATCACCTAAGCAAAAGAATGAAAGGGAAAAATGGAAGGAGAGAGAGGAAACGTCATGTTTGTGGCAACGGCATGAGGTGTTCTTTCCTCTGATCTGCCATTTAAAGCATAGATAAAGCACAGATAAAACCATATATGTCCTCTGACATGTTGAGGACGCAGGCAGCAGTAAACAGTTCAAGTGCTACTAGTAGTGTTAACACTAACGCCACATAAATAAACTTGTCACTGCTTATTTATCCTGTTACCTCCTACTGTATTTGCAGCAGCTTGACATTTCCCTGCCAGTCAACTGATCCAGTGTTCAGTCTGTGCCGAGCTAAACTGCCTGTAAGTCATGACCTCTGTTATACCAGAATACATCAAGTATAATACTAGATATGTGTGGGTTTACTTTGCCTCTCTGCTCCACAAATGAGCAGTTTATTGCCCAAATTATCTTGGACTTCCAGATCTGATCTTGACTGACACAGCGCTCCTTAACTGCTATTTCTTTATACATTTGGGCTGTCTTTGAGTAGTGTGGATGCTAATGTACAAACAACAGAGAACATAATTGATTCTGCTTCATCATTACATGAGAGTAGTGTTTAAATAAATTGCTACTGTCTTAAATGAAAAATAGTTTTGTGTTTCATACCAATTTGCCTTCACATAACACTGACAGGTCACTAAGTACGAGCACTCACCCTTCTCAAGTTAACAAAAACACAGCAGATTCTTAAATGTTGGATGATAGAGACTTTTATAAAGCAATCGTTCTCCTTTTTATAATGAGTACCTTCTCACAAATGTAACATTTTGAAAGTTGTTTTGTTGACTTTGGAGAGGTTAAGCCAGTCTGCCATTTTTGTTTACAACTGTATTTTGTTTCAAATATTACTAATACGTGTGTCACATGTAATACATAGCATAACATTTGTTTACAATGGTGTCATGAGTTTGTTTTCTCAGTCTTTTTTGCTTTGCTCATGTCTGTAGTAGAGAGGCCATAGTGTAAACTAAACAATGAAAAAAGAGATTCAATATGGGACCTTTTTGGCCATGAAGCTGAATAAATCAGGATATTTTACCAACTTGAACCCAGATCCAAGATAGAACCAGCTATCCAAACCCATCCCTATACATACAGTACATACTGTACATGCAGTATACAGTAAGGTCTATAAGTACATCCCAATTAAAAATTATTCTGTGGCATAATGGAAATCTTATGATGCCACAAAAGGTTGAATGACAAATAAAGACAAAATCCATGTCTAGACAAAAGGGTTTGTGTAAAAAACAATGTGCAGTGACTGGATGTTTTAGCTTAAAATGGTGAAGAGAGGAGGTGAACTTATAGCAACACTACGGCACCAAGTAAAACATTTCATGCCAACAACAGAGTGTAAATGGCTTGTCAAAAAGACATTTACATTATGCGGCCCTACTGGCCTTTTATTTGAAATTGGAGCTGTATACTGCCTCTTTCACTGGGCCAGACCTGCTAGAGCTAAACGGTGTCTAATGTGTTAACTGGAGAGTGAAAAGCATCAGCTCCTCTGTAAAACATAAAATCACATTTTAATAAACAAGCTCATAAGCACTTTTGCCTTTAGGAGTTCTATTTATAAGTGATGTTAATAGCATAGCTTTGACGGTCCTCTCTAGTAAACACAGTTCACTGCAGCATTTAGATGACAGGCATTTAAGGTTCAAGTTTAACTGTGTTTATCTTAAAACCACACAAATCACAGTGCTTGATCAAATCTATAGTGATTAGAAAGGTATTATTTAAATAATAAAATATAACCAGAGATCAAAGAAAGTATCTAATCCCCTAAAATATAAGACTGAGATAATTTTAGAAACATAGATTTTTGACTAGGATAAGGATAATCATTTTATTTGGCTAAGTATGTCACACACACAAGGAATTTGTTTCCAGTACAGAACCGAAGCAGCCATCTGCGGCCCCAATTTACACCAGGGGCAACTTGGGGTTCAGTGTCTTGCCCAAGGACACTCCAACATGTGGATGGCAGGCACTGTGATTCGAACCTCCAACCCTGCGGCTGGGAGACGACCGCTCTACTCACTGAATCCCAAAGTTTTAAAAAATGATTTCTGTTTATAACACCAATGCATGACAGCTACTATTGTATGGTAACATTTAGGGAAAGTTGTGGTTGTAGTAAAAAACTAACAAAACAAAAAGGAAACATTAGCTGGTGGATTGTGTCAGGAGGTAAACTCAAGTCTCCTGCATGAAAAACACATTCTTTTACCAGGACCATATTCCAGAAGACTGGCCAGGAAAATGTCAATTACTGATAAAATAATAGGCTGAAATGATGGACAATGAGTTAACAATGACAGCAATGTAAAGTGCCTTAGGCATGATGTATTTTTGTGGGCCAATGTGAAAGTTGGCATCACCCTGGTTCCTTCGACAAAAAGTCAATGGGATTTTTCCATAGACTTTTGGATTACTGCAGAAAATAAGCTCCATGGCAAACAATGGTTTATTACACTTGAATACTGTCTTTTTTGCTTTTCTTTTTCATATCTTTCCACTTTCCTTACTGTCACTTTTTCTTTTGAGTTACCTTTGCCTTTCTTCCTGCCTCTCTTTCTCCCAAATTGCACTACTGCAGACTCTCCTGCTGATTTTTCCCTCACATGAATGTGAACCTAGTGCTCACTTTTCAAACAGGCCTTGTGGGAGGTTGCTGTCCTCTATCTGGAGAGGCAGCTGAACCTTTGTTCTGTTCTTCATTCTGTTCTCCTCTGGTTTACTGTCATGTATCATGACACCTTTGCTCAGTCATTGCGCCAGTCCGTGGAGGCATGAGGCAATTATCTCTCTGCCATTTGACACATATATGGCACTTCTCTGTCTGTCCCTGTCTCTCTCTGTCAAGGATGATATACAGTAATAAAATCCATCTTGTGTGTTATAATGTACCAGTGTAAATTAATGGTGGCATGGACAAACACAGTTTGGAGGTATGCGGTTGACCTTTTATAGTGTAGGATATAATAGATATACATGTACATACTGTAGACTGAATATATTTCCAGTCACATTATAGATGTATGTACAGTTAAACACAACTATTACAAGTGCCAGTAGTCTCCCTACCCAAAGAAGAAAAAGGAAAAGACACGCACCAGATTAATATATGGATGTATTATGAAACCTTTTATAATACAGCCACAGATTTGTATTGCAATAATTGTCTCCATTTTTTTTATGCTTTCATGCTTTTCCCCCCATGCTTTCACCAAAACAGCCACCATGTCCTGCACTGATGACGCACAGTGTTTCTTGTACTGTCTTTGCTGGGGACACATTGGGATGCATTAGCATTTACAAGACAAAAGAAGTGTGGTCAAATGCATCCCAGGCCACCTCGGGCAAGTGGTTTGAGTGATCAGATCACAATCTGTCTTGGTAGTTGTTTACAGTTGTATTTAGTGTTGTCCACTTGTCATCCAGTCATCTAGACATGGTCTAAACTTTGTAATGAAACAACTCCATGACTTAGAACAATGTGTCAATTTTAATAAAAGATGACACTGTTAATATTCAATATTTTTTCCACAAAATCTTTGTTATACTTACAAATAATGTGTGTCCAACGTTTGATATATGTTATTCCTTTGTGCTATAGAGTGCCATTAGTAAGTGAAAACTAAAAAAGAACATCAGAGTCACACTGATGCACTGGGTGATGTGTTCTTTTTCTCTTTCACCATCCTGCTGCCATGATCCAAACATGGATTAATTCACCATGGAAAAAGTCTGTGTATTTACACAGCTGTGCATAAAAGGACTTGATTTTGATTTTGCTAATGAGTTTAGAATTTAAGTTCATTTCATTCATGTCCTCTGTGTGTCCTTTAGGCCATCATGGAGGAGGCTGACCTGCTGAAAGAGCGGCTCCAGGCGATCACTGTAAGGACCAGCCCTGTGCTTCTGGTAGTAACAGGAGAAAGCTACAATACATAGGATGCTGGTTTGCAGATTTGAACTGTTATTATTATTATTATATTCTGGGAATAATCAGCACTTAATGTCCACAAACTCCCTGGTGGTCAAGCTGAAAGTAGAACCTTAGGTTTGTTCAGCCTGATTTCATTTGCTTGTTATCTGGCCATCTACACAGGTCATTTGCAAGTGAAGAGATTAAGTGCTTATGCTCAGGCTTTGGTTACTTAAAGTATCTCAGCAGCATAGAGGCTCTTCAGATTCCAAAAAGCTAAATTTGTTTCCTGTTTAAAAAGTGATACAATGAATAAAAATGAACATTTTGAGAAACACTGATGAGGACAGCACTACAAGTTGTTAGACCATCTTTAAAGGGGATGTGTTCATGATGATTTTAAAGATTACGTTCACATTTAAGGTGCATTTTTACACAAAACAAGGACTGTGAATTTTGTCCCCCATCAGTTACAGTGGAATCACATTAGGAAGGAATCTGTTCAAAAACCTCAGTGTACATGTGTAAGTACAGTATAGCATGTAAATGTTGTTTTAAGCATGACGACACATCCTGAGGCTACTCTTTACTTCATCCAGCCTGGACCTGGCTGCATTCACTACCTGACCTCCACCCTCTCACTATCTCTGTCACATAAAGGAGATGCTATCTCCTGTGCTGGCATAATCATTGGTAGCCTCGACATAATCGCTGACGTGCAGAATGACACGATATGGAGATCATCCTAAGGATACTGGCCTGGGCATTTTCCATTGCTACAGTGACATATAATAATAATACAGTGTCAGTGAACCCTTTGATATTATCTCCATTAATGTATAAAACCAGGGCCAGAAAAACATGGAGAAGACAAGGGCTGTGAAAATAATGAACAAAAATGACATAGCTTATTTTGGTTATAGTTATACTATTGATGAGCCAGTATGCAACCCTGTAAACAGCAATGTGTTCAGCCGTGTTTAACTCACAACGCAGAGCAACAGATAAGGTTTTCTTTTGTCTTGCAATCACTGAAACATCTGCAAATGATTTCTTATTTTGTAGATGTTTCTAGCAATTTGACTAACCACATTTCAGTGATTCGGTGCTGTGATGGGTAGTCTCAGGAGGATGTCTTGATGCAGCATTGAAACAGGACTTGTTTCCAAGCAGCGTCTGGAAATAAAAAGTGTGGGTGTGTTGTTGCAGGAGGATGGAGTCTTAGAGTTCTAGCTATAACTGTGCAGGTCACTTCACCTGGCAGAGTGCAGGGAGGCAGCACAGTGTTTATGCAAGAAACAATGAAGACACACTGGTGGTCATTTAGGACATGACTCTGGAGCTGCGATTATCATCTACCTGAGACAAAAAAGAGACTATCTGTCTCTCCCTCTTCTGTCTTCTCCAGTGTGATTCACTCCCTGCTCTCTTCGTTCTAACTTTAACAGTCTGTCCATCAACACTAATGAGATTTTTTATGAAACCTACCTTAACATCATTAGGATACACTGCCTGCTTCTGTTACAGCGCCCGGCAGTACCTGCATATCAACTGTGATGGGGCCATTTTGGGCTCATGGGGCGCTGTGGTGGACTTATATTAAGGCAAATCTGATTCGCTTTATGGTAAACAAAACCTAATCTCCTTTAAAATCCAGTGAATACAGCCTTTGCTCAGTTTTTCAATTCATGTTCTACTGCTTTTTAGGAAACCTTCTACATATTAATTTAAATTCTTGAGAAGATCCAAAAATCATAGTGTAGACTGAATATTTCACTCAGTTTATTTTTCTTGCTTTGATTGTTACTAATAGAGTAAAAAGATTATAGCCCACCACCCACCCACCCACACACACACACACACACACACACACAGTCATCTCCATTGCCTATTAGATCTGCTCCCCCCATCCTCAGAGATGGTAACTATAAATGTGGCAGGTGCACTCAGCACATTTACACCCACCGCTGCAGGTCATTTAATCACCCTCACACAGGTCGTAATATCAAAATCAATGCTATGATTACCTGCAGCACTACACATGTAGTCTGATAAAATGTCTGTGTGGACTTGCCTGTTTTGGCAAAACTCTTACCCTTTATGCACACATATTAGTGAACACAGATCTAGTATCAGGCGTTTAGATCCAAGAGGTCCAGTGGCAGCATATTTCTGTAATGTAGGACACCATTAGTTCTGTGAGATACATCGCTGCTGAAACAGTTGCCTCCTCTTTAAGGGGTGGAGATTGCGACAAGAGATGTCTCCAAAGGGGAGGCGTATTGGAATTATAAACTTAACATACTGTCTCCTTATGGACTGAATGAGGATTTTTACATTAGGCCTTTGTAGGTTGAACTCTATGTTTTGATCATAATGTTTATGAATTGGATCTTTACATAAGATATGATCCTTATCATGGCATATTTAAGGATTGCAAAAGTTGTGTACACACTGAAAGAAACATTTTGTGCCATTGGATACTTTTAATTATGAGCCTTATAAGGATTTATTTGTCCAATTATTGGATATACTTAGAATAGGATTGGGTAGTTTTTTTTATGTGTGTAGATGCAGGTTTGTGTTTTTTACTGTAATGTGGTGGATGCAGTAAATGTTGTGTGAGAAAACTGGGGTCATATTGTTATTGTATGTTGTGGTGTCACCTGACATCAGTTTGAAAGAGTCCGTATGTATGTCAGGTCAGAGTAAAAGCTAAAATGAAAACTCAATGTTGAAACATCATTGGCAAGGCAGCTTGACCTGAACAAAAGTAATTTTGTGGATCATTAAATCAGTGTGTATGCTATGATCTTTTTATTCTTCTATTATTGCTCTTTGGTCTACACACCTGATGCAACGATATGTTACTGGGGAGTTGCATCCACTTTTCTTAAAGAATTTGCTTGGATTGTTGAAATTAATAGCTACAGCATCACACAATAGCTTCATCAAATAAACAGCTAACTTACAATCATGGCCAACATGAAGTGTATTTATTTGTTTTTTGTATAATAATAGTACACGCACTGCCAAGGATACCACTGTTTCTCTGTCTACTCAAACAAAAGCTACTTTCATGTAGCAGAATTGTTTTAAACTTACTGGCAACTCAGCATGTTGTTTTTTTTTTGACTCGACTGCTCTGAGGTCAAAGGTCAAGGTCAAAGTGTTTATTTGTCCTATGCACAGTTAGGAAACGTGTTTCCCTGTACCATACAATTCTTACTTTGCCGTCCACATGAATGCCACATAATACAAGTGAAATATAAAGTAGGTCTCAGAGTTATCCTGCAGCTGTATAAAACACAAAACAAACCAGTGATTTAGGGATACAACAAAGCTTTTTGTCTCTTTCTTTTTGTCCTATAATATATGGATGCAAGTCTCGTGTTGCGAATTCTCTTGCTGAGAGAAATATCCATTAAGGGAAATACACAATCTTAAAGCCGGTTTTCAGGCTATTTTGCTTATTAGCCAGTACAATCTTGAAGTCGTTTTTCAGGCTATTTTGCTTATTAGCCAGTCAGCTGTAGCACAGCAAACATCTTAAAATATATCTACTTACTGTATGTCCCCACTAGTCAGTTTTGATGCACGGTTGTATGATAGATGACTATACTTTTGAAGAAGAAATGCAAGGAATTTTTCCGACAACTGAGTGAGGCTGCTCTGTAGACATGTGAGACTAATCGGAAAAGCCTGCTCATCTGGTATCTGAATACAAACGTGATGAGTAACGGGAGTCATTTGATCCTTAAGCTTCTCCCAGTTATCATTTCACCAGTTGTCTCTGTGAAATGGTTCACACAGTCCAGGCATTTGAGCAAACTGACATTAGTGAATTTGACAGAGTTGGGCACAGATACTGGGCTAAAAATACAAGCAGACGTCATTAGGGAGATCCCCTTTCACTGGGGCTTAGTGTCACACTTATCCAGGAGCTAATTTTATCCCCCAGTGACCCCCATCAGTGTGACAAATGTGAACAGTGGGCTTGTGTTTTGATGCCGAGCTAATGATTAAGTAATGTGTTTGGCTGTGGTCATTCAGGCAGGCCAAACATGTGTCCATGACTTTAAATGTCCAGCAGGAAATATAACTTCATTAAAGACGATTGATCTTTTCACACAAGGTGCTTATTAACAGAGAGTGCTGTATTGGTTGTAGTGAACACACACACATACACAGACAACAACTAAGTTAGGTCAGGGCATGAAGGTTGTATAGCTTTTTATCTATTTATGGCTGATGATGTCCAGCTGTCGACTCAAGGTTGGACTGTCAGCACGAGCAGACAACAGGTGGAATAGTTTCCATGTAGTAAAATTTACACAGGATGCAAATATGTTTCATTTGCCCCCACAGGACAAAAGGAGAATCCAAGAGGACATCGCCAAGAAAAAGAGACAGATTGAAGAGAAGAAATTAAAACTTCAGTACTTAAAGGTACATTTTACTGTAATAGCATGAAAAGAAACAGGAGACAATGTCGTACACTGGATATGTGAAAATGTGGTTCTAACATTGTGTCCCATCTAAAAAAGAGCAGTGCAGTACAAAGTAGAAATGTTTCTCCAGCAGTCACTGAACAGACAGTAAAGACTCCCAGGAGGAACATTTACTGTCTCAAAGCTAATAACACTGCAACAACCTCATTTCTGTACTCAGATAAAAACCATGTTGCAAGGCCAGAACTTGTGTTTCACAAATGTTATCTGAAGTCCTTGTATATTAGCTTTATATAACATTGTGATATTCTTCTTATTTCACCTATACTGATTTCACTACAAACCAAATTAAAGTGTTAGTGGTTTCACCTACATCACCATTAGTCAACTTCTCTGATCCCACAACAATGTGAATAATAAAATTCCAAGCAATTTTAATATTTAGAATGTGGAGAGGAGTATGGGAAACATTAGGATGCTCCAGAATCATCCTGTAGAAGTGATGAGATTTCAAAATAATTATTTTGTTTAAAGCTGTATGTCACTGTAGTTACTGCTGGTGTTGTATTGGAGGGCATTACAACCCCAAGTCAGAAAAAGTTGGGATGGTTTGTAAAAACAAAATTAAAACAAAAACAGGAATGTGTAAATCATATGTGTCCTGTACTACATTGAAAACAATACAGCAGCACTTTATTTAACATGACACCTCCTTAATTTTATTATTTGTTGAAAAATAAACATTCACTTCAATTCTGATTCCTGCAACACATTTAAAAAAAAAAAGGTGGGACGGCTGCATTTCAGGTCTAGTAAATGGTCTTATACTTGCTTAGTGTTTTTTAGTACACTCAAAGCACTTTCACACTACTTGGCTATTCACCCACTGGTGTTATCACCAGGAGCCACTGGGGGTTCAGTGTTTTGCTCAAGGACACTTCAACATGTTGACTGGACAAGCCAGGAATTGAACTGCTAATCTTCCAGTTAGGAAACTACCCGCTCTACCTTGTGAGCCACAGCCACCTCTAGTATTGGGGTAAAACAATGAAATGATGACTCCATGTGAAACAGGTGATGTCAGCAGGTGACTGTATCATGGTCTGGCACATACAGTAAGTAGCATCCAGGAAAGGCTGAGCCCTTTAGGAGCAAAAATGTACAGTAGATGTACATCCTTCATCTTAGGATGTTTATATTCTTCCGATTTTGCATCAGTTGCATGATTCAGTGTCATCAACTCACCCACTGGTAAATTCTTCTCATACAGCTCCTCTGGATAATATCTGGATAAATTCAGGGTTGGATATCTGAAAAGGGCTTAGGTTAGCTGTGGTTTAGAGCAAGTTCAGCTGAACTGGAACTTGCAGGGGTTTATAAATGTATGTGTATTCTTAATTGGACCTCATTCCTTTGTCAAACAGAGCAAAGATTCAGCTAATCTGCAGCTAAATTAATAAATAAATCTGGCATCTTTTAGAGCATGTTGACTGTAAATTTAAAAAGGAAATTCTGTGATAATCCAGGCTGTAGAACTGTGCCCTTATTCTATACTCAGCTCTTGTTCATACACACTGAAGGATGGGAAACTGAAGGCATTTAGTGGAGAGGTAGGTAATGAATGAAGATCCAGGACATAAAATGTACGAGTGACTTTGTATGCTTTTGTTATTTTCCACAAATACCATAAAGACACTAAAAAAAAAATCATAATTTTGGTGTACCTACCAAAATATTTGTGAATCTAGAACCTAATCTGGCTACTTTAGCAACTCATTCTACACGCATGCGTAGTTGAGTCTTTCTTTCTTGAGAGACTGTAAAAACTTATGGCCATTCTTAGCCCTTGGAACTTTTTTTAAAGATAGGTCTCACATTCTTCATTAGGAAGGACCAAGGTCACCCAATGTGTTTTTAATAGCTTGTGGACAGCAATGGAGGTCTATGACACATACACAAATAATCTAAACCAGGTCCTGGATTTGCAAACATCAATGTGAGTAAAATTCATTGTTGGCTTTAGTTTCTGTATGAGGTCTATGGAAAACAAAAGAACAGAAAATCATTGGCCTTGTTTTTTAAGGGAACAGAAAGGGTGTGGTGCTGAGGAGGAAAAGGCAGACAAGGAAGGTGTCACCATGACACAAACCTGTGTGCTGTTCTCTTTGACTGACAGAAAAAAGCCCGGAGAGATCAATGGCTGATGGATGGTCTGAATCAGCCGTCAGAGAAGGAACAGGAAACCATGAGGCTTCAGGTGCAGGATGAACAGCAGGAGAGTGATCAGCTGCAGAGCAACATCCTCAGGTAACCTGAACCTGAATGCAAATATCCCACGGCATAGAGTCCATAGTCATTAGCTGTTAGCTGTTAGTTGCTGAAAATGTTGCTGAACTAAGCGTGTGTGCCAGTAAACAGCACAGTATATTACCCTCTTGTACAGAATAGAGAAGGAGATTGAGGCCTTGGAAGTACAGGAGCTCGACATCTCTGCCAATGAAGAAGTCGTTCTGAAGCGTTTGAAAGCAGTGGAGAGGACAGCTGAAGACATTATTAAGGTAGGCTCAGAACGGCTGGCTCCATTTTAATACTCTGCTTGCCTTACTGGCTCTTACATGGTTGTGTTGCTTATTGATTCTGGGACTTATCAATGATTATTGATGACCCAAACACCTGGTAATCCCTGCCTACAGTAAGGAGTTGGTAATTCACATACACTGCCATGGGCTGGACACCTTGGCTATAACAAAACATACCCATGAATCAGCTCATGTTTTCATTGCCCCTGTATGTACACTGATATTTAGACATACTGCACCACATGCACTACATGTCAAAAAACGTGTGCTTACCATAAGTGTGATCGGGCTGTCCTATAGCCACTTGCCATCATCTCCACCCCTTTCTGAGGCAGGGTGGCATATTGTTGGGCAGAAGAAGCCTGTCATTTGGATTAAGGAGTGTGAGGCAGCTTTCCTCACCTTACAGGCCTGCCTGTGTGCAGCTTCTGATTTTAAGAGCCCAGAGTTTACCAGGAGATTCCTGGTGCTGGTGGATGCATCCCCCTTGGAGTAATCTAAGGGCAGGAGTAACCTATCCTGTACCTGAACTTCCATGGTAGACCAGACACTCTGTGGGCTTGGAAATCCTGTGATAATAACTGTTGAGGAGAGAGTTTGATTTGGAGACTGGTCATCCTGCTCTCACATAGATAAAGTCCATGAAGGAGGGAGATGGTGAGGTCCCATCATTCACTGTGAATGAAGCCCTCGCTGACAAGTATAACATATGGTACACACATTACAGTTTATATATTTGGTACAGTTTACAGACTTAAAACTAACAAAAATCAAAAATTTGATTAAACTAATAGATTTTGTCAAATTAAATTCTGTTAAACTGAATTCAGGTGGCAAAATTAATACTGGTTACAACAGGATAGCACTTTGTTCTCAAAAACACATAAGCCAGTGTGTGAAACCTGAAGTCCTGCATTCGCACTACAGTCACATCTTTTTCAGGTTGGTCATCAAAGTTAAGCCAACATGATGCCTGACTTACTCTCAGATGTTCATCTTAATGTTCTCTTATTCCCAAAGCTAACAGAATTATTGAATGAAAATCATGTTGAATTGTTGTAATTTATGTTCACGGTGGCAAATTAGGTCTGCATGTTGTATTCACTAAACACTTTTGGAAAGTGTGGATTTTTTATTCACTGGATTTGTTTTTGCTTCTACTTGAGAAAGTCATTAAGAATCAGTAGGTAGCAGGCTATTAGCACTTTCCGGCAGGGACAGTGGAATGTAAATTTACATGATGAGAGAAATTAGCTTAATAATTCCATTGAATAAAGTGATGCTCAAAATGAAATATTATCAGAACAATTAAGTTGTAGCATTTCTTGGCTTCTTCCCATGTGTGTGCCCCATTCCCCCACACCCCATGTATAGCTGATCACTCATAGGTGCACTACACAGGTAAAACACAGTCTGCTCAGATTACAGCATCATCGATCGTTGCTGACAAACATGCTGGGTGTTTTTAACAGGTTGGAGGATGAGCTGAGCTTCACTTCGTTCACTTGCCTAGGTACTAAAGGACTATAGGTTGTACCTGTCAAGGGTGTATCAATCAAGTTATCCCTGTTTTCATTGTTTTATTGGTCCAAATAAAGGCTCACAGGTGTCACCTCTGTGCACCAAAGTGTGAATTGGCTATAGCTTTTCTCACTGTGTGTGGTCTGTGATTATGTGATTGGCATTTGACTGCTGGTGAAAGGGTTTATACTGAAAAGACAGTGACAAACTTAGGATTGTTTTCCTGCAGGTGCAACACTAGTGCTGGAGCAAATTGAGATTTATTGCAGTTTTCTGTGCAATTCTATTTTATGCATCTACATCTGTTTGGCAAATGAGCATGTTTGCTCTGTGTGGGAGAAGTGCGCCTGAGCCACTGCTTATGCTGATTAGGCAGCTCGGTGCAATTATGGTGCTTATTTTGGACTGAAATTTGTGTTAAAACCACCTCAACACATGAGGCGTACACACACCAACACACACACCCATTAAGTGCAAACACAAAGCATTACACCTATTGTTTGTGACTCCCCAGGGTATCACATATGACCAAACATCAGCACTGTTCTGTGTGCAACAGCTATCCTGTTTGTGTGCAGAAAAGCATTCATGTTAATGAAGCTATCCTAAGATCATAATGCCACTTTAGAACATTTTAATTACTATGGAGTTGCAGCTGCTGTGCCTCAGTGGTAAATTGTGTTAATAAAGTCAAACAAAAGGAGCATCAACATTCTCAGTCTGTGTGAGACAGAGACTAAAAAATGATATTTATATATTCATTAATTCATTTTCCTCCGCTCATCCAGAACCGGGTCACGGAGGCAGCAGTCTAAGCAAAGATGCCCAGACTTCCCTCTTTCCAGATACTTCCTCCCACTCCTGGGGGAATGCCAAGGCGTTCCCAGGCCAGCCGAGAGACATAGTCCCTCCAGCGTGTCCTGGGTCTTCCCTGGGGCCTCCTCCTGGTGGGACATGCCTGGAACGCCCCACGAGCCAACCAGGCTCGAAAGGACTTCTTCTTCAGCTTGACGGCATCCCTTACCTCTGGTGTCCACCACTGGGTTCAGAGATTGCCGCCGCAACAGGCACCGGAGACCTTATAAAGCTTGAAAGTTCTCCTTCTTCAGCTTGACGGCATCCCTTACATCTGGTGTCCACCACTGGGTTCAGAGATTGCCGCCGCAACAGGCACCGGAGACCTTATGACCACAGCTCTGAGCGGCTGCATCAGCAATGGAGGTGGAGAACATGGTCCATTCGGACTCAGTGTCTCCAGTCTTCCTCGGGATCTGGTCGAAGCTCTGCCGGAGGTGGGAGTTAAAGATCTCTCTGACAGGGGATTCTGCCAAACGTTCCCAACAGACCCTCACAATATGTTTGGGTCTGCCGGGTCTGTCCAGGG